TTGGTGGGTTAAATGGGTTGGCTCACTAGTTCACTTAATTAATTTTTTTTTAAATAAAAAAATTCAAACTTTTTGTAATTCAAATCTAAATAAATTTCACTCCCAAAATGATGTTAAACTCAAGACAATTCAAAATAATAATAAAAATACAATACAATCCATGTATAATGTGTCAGATGGTAGTTTTTAGGGTTTCATAAGATAATAAATTAATAAAATAAAATTAGGTGGGTTGGTGAGTCAACCCGGCTCACCAATGATTCAACCAGGATTAGTCGGGTTTAAATGAGTCGGATTGAAAATTGACCTGCATAAAAAACAAAATACATTTTTTTCAAACCCAATCTTGCTCAAACCCGTGATGGATCAGGTTGGCCTGCTGGTTATAACCCATTTTAACAGTTCTACAAAACACTATCACTACAACCATATACTCCTAACTAGAAAGAAGGAAAGTGAAAATAAATTAAATTAAAAGTTTAATTAAGTTTTAAATATATGATAAATTAAGTTTCAACCATAAACTCCTAATTAGAAAAAAAGAATATAAGTAAAAATTAATTAAATTAAAAACTTAATTAAGTTTTTAATTGAATTCTTCGTCTTTTTGTTTATTTAATACTTTTTTTAATGGTTTAAATCATTTAGTTGTCCCTATTTTTGTGAGTTTTTCCCATTTTGATCCCCTATTTTTTAGAATTTCCAATTGAGTCTTTAAAAGTGCTAATTTGAATCAATTGAACCCCTACCATTAAATTTACTTAACGGGTTGATGTGTCAATTTTGTAAAACGTGGCATAAGCTAAGTGTTACGTGGAATGTCCTAAGTTTAACTTGAAAAATATTTGATTAAAAATATTAAAAAAAATTATCCTCCATTACAAGCACCACCCAGAAATCCTACCCAGAAATCCTCTTCCCAGAGAGACAAACAACAAAGAGAGACCCAACAGATAGAGAAGAAAGAAGCAATGGGTAAAGAAAAGTGGAAATGGTGGTTGGAGCGCCAGTGGTGGATGCACGGTTCGGCGTTTCTCGCGATTTGGTGAACCCGTTTTGGAAGAGGAAGGGAACGGGCCGACGACGCTTCCGATCAGCTCATCTTTCTCAACCAAGGTAGTTTCTCCTTGTTGTGACATTAACGGAGGGATCCACGAGCGGAGGAGGCGAGGCGGTGACATTAACGGCCGTTGTAATGGCGGCGGTGGCCAAAGGAGGAACCTGTTCACCGCCTTCCATTGAGGAGAGAAGAAACTCTCCCGCCTTATATTCCGGTCTTTTCTGTCTCGACAGACAATTTGTTCTCTCTTCCAAAATTAATCTAAAATTCTAAAATTGCAGCAAAGAAAAAAACATGAAATAGAGAGGGAGAGAAAGAAAGAGAGACAAGCACTGAAGAGAGAGAAAACAATTTTACAAGGGTTAAAGGCATTGTGTTTGTAGACAGAGAGGAGTGAGAGGGAACCTGTGGTGGTCGTGATTTTGGGGATTTTTGGCGAAGCCCCTATGTATTTTTGTGAAGGAGCAACATCAATGGCGTTTTCTAGAAATAAGCAACAACAATTCAGTTATTTTCTGAAAAGTAATTTTTTATTAAAACCAGCCAAAATGAGGGTTTTTCTGGATCTGAAATATTCACATCACATCTTTGACACGTTCAAAAAGTAAGGATTTTAAACAAAATAACACTGCGCTGTATACAATAATCCAATCCCAAAATTGGTCACCATTGCCACAAGATGTACACCAAACACAATAGATTGGGCTAATTTATGATATCACTTTGAACGATGAAACAACAAAATCAACTAAAAAATAAAGAAAAGAAAACTTGTTTTTATCATAAACCAAATTCATTGTGTTTTATTACAGTAAGAATTATCAGAGCACACAAACTTTTTTAAGAAAAAAAAAACAACACAAAAAAAAATAGGAAGTAAACAACAACATTGGATGATTCACAGGAAGAAGAAACACCAACAGTAAGAATTACCCGAAAATTCTATTATTAAATCTCATTTCACAAACCCTATTATTAAAGTCTAATCTTTTAAGAAATGCCACGTATAAAGCTTGCAGCATGTCACGTCTAAATAAATTACCACATCAATCTTCCACTTCATCAAAAACTTAACTCCGTTAACCAAATTTAATGGTAGGGATTCAATTGATTTAAATTAGCACTTTTTAGGACTCAATTGAAAATTCCAAAAAATAGGAGATCAAAATGGGAAAAATCTACAAGGGACAACTAAAGAGTTTAAACTTTTTTAATTGAATCCCTACTATTTAATTTTTCAGTTAAATGGGTGACATGATTCTTATCATGCCTTATCACATTGCTTAATTATTTCCATATATAATTTTCTGTTAATATTAAACGACTTCATTTGCGACTAACATAACATATGACTTTTATTATTGGATTACGGCAACATGAAACCAAGAGAAAAAGAAAATGAAAACATTAATACGGTGTTGGAAGACTACAAATATCCGTCCAGAAAATCCTCTGCCACCAAAAAACCCTCTTTGACTTGCATGTTTATCTGAATATCAAAGTCCTCTTTTGCATGACCTAATGTTTGATTATGGATTACGATACACAACTCAATTAAAAAATAAAATATAATACTCAACAGAATAAAAAATATAATAAAAACTCAATTAAAAAACTTGAATCTTAATTAAGCCTACATTAAAAAAACATAAAACAAATAAACACTCATTTCCAAATATTAGACTAGAAATGACTACCTATGATTGCTCAATGATTTTTGCCTTAAAATTGGTGAACCCAAACTCAAACACGTTCACCGTTGAAAAAGCCATGAAATGAAATCTCAATCCTAAATCATGAAAGAAAAATGTTACTTTCCTCAAACTATTTTTCTCTTTAAATTGGTTAAACAAATCTCCAATACCCATCTAAAATAGATGTGCATTTGTTGAGGCAAAAACTATAATCAGAAAGCTCCTCCTATTTTTAGATTAAAAAGTTATTTAAAAGTCATGTGCCATGCTTCAACATTATTAGATGAATAAACTTTGTTAATTGGATGGCGATAGTGTAACTAAAACGCAATTTCTAACTCATGCAATTTCTTAAACTTCATAGCAGATTTCTGTAATTTCCTCTTGCTATTTACTTTAAGTAAACTTGACAATAATATCATATTTCAATAATCCAATACCACTGCTTGGAATAAATTGCTTGTTTTAGTTGGATTGAGTAAAGTCTATTTTATTTTTTATAAATAAAGCTTAATTATATTTTCTGAGATACCATCTGCACAAAATTTATTTTTAAAAAAACTATCCTGTCACTAGTGCAGAAAAGACTTTTAACGTCATCCTTTAGACGTTTGACCTTCAAATATCCAACACAAAAAATGACCGGTGACATTTTTTGTAAATAAAACAACTATTTAGACGTCGGCTATGGAGAGTCCGACGTCTAAATACTCATATATGTCGGCTCCCCCAATTAGACGCCAAAACTAAATGGAAAACATAATAAAAAATAATTTTTTATTCTATTTAGACGTGTGTTAATTGGGGGAACCAACGTCTAAATCCTAAACCCAGAAATTTAAAAAGTCACTTTTTGACTCCACTTCGACGTCTGATCCTGCCACTCCAACTTCTAAAGCACTTTAGACGTCTGTTAATTGGGGAACCGACGCCTAAATCCTAAACCCAGAAATTTAAAAAGTCACCTTTTGACTCTATTTAGACGTCTGATCCCGCCACTCCGACTTCTAAGGCCCTTTAGACATCTATTATTGGGGAACCGACGTCTAAATTTCGGCATTAAAGCATCGTGAACGCGAGACAGCCGTTACGTGCACTCATTGTTCATCATCTTCGTCGCGTTTTCTTTCTACGGGTTACGCTTTTCAGGTTCGTTTTCTCACTTTTGCACCGTTTTAAATTAATTTTACTCAGATTACATCACTATTTGATGCATTATCTTTCATTTGAACCGATTAAAATGCGTTTTCGTTGGGTTTTGGTGCAGTTATTATCGTGTCCTTGGGCGGCGTTCTTTGGCGGCGATTTCTTGCGTTTTGTACTCCTCAAATTCCCTCCACTACGTTTTTGAAACCATCCAATAAAAAAATGTACAATACATTCTCTTCAACTAAAATATAAAGTTGTAAACTCGAATCACCATGAGTCAGGAGCACCTCAGAGACGTCTGACCTATATGAATCGGACGTTTATATAGACGTCTGACCTATATAGACGTCAGACCTAGGTTTGACGTCTCATTAACGTCACCCATATAGACGTTGGACAGAGATGAGGCGTTAAAAACCCACAATAACATACATCTAAAGTCTTTTCTAGACTAAGGGTGTGGATACCAATATCATAAAATACTACTTTTTCTCTATTATTGGTTGAGACAATTAATTAGTGCAACACATATATTTAAGGTAGTTATTATTATAAAAGTCAACAAATCTATTAGACTTAATTTATTAAAGTCAATATCACCGGAAACAATTCTTTTAGTAAATTTATTGATTTTTACGATAATGACCTCAAAAATCATAAATGACATTATATGAAATGTATGTTGTGGTAAATTCAATTTTATACATAAAAAACTGAAAAGATAGAAAAAAATGTTTTTGAGCGATTCTGATAATTTTTTTGAGTTATTCTGTTATGTACGTATAATGTGTCTAATATTTATCAATTTGATATACGACTAGTTTATGAGAACCCTGGACTATCTATGATAAAAATTATTTTTTCAATCACCTTTATCGACGAAAATTAGAAAGAAACTTTATGTCAAATATTTCGGTAAAAGTATTACTCTAATGTTGTAGTTATAATTATTGTAATTAAATATAAAAAAATACTTTTTTTTTCTAATTTTTGATATTTAATTACAATTTATTCGAATTATATTTAATTTAGTTTGACTGTTTGAATGTTGGTTAGAAATTGACGTAGATGTTCCATAAGATCGAGAGAAGTTTAGTTTTTTCTTTTCTTTTCCGAGTCTCAAGCGACTATTTTCCACTGTTTACGTTCTTACACTTCTCTGTGCTTGCCACGTGTCCTCCCTCACCTCCTCTTCTTCTTAGTGATCCTAATTCTTCTCATATTCTCAACACTTATTTTTTCTCTCCAAGTTGTTCTCATTGCACATACTGTTCATTTCCTGCAGCTTGTGAAGAGTGCACCATGATGCCATTGGTTTGATTTTTCTGTGTTGGTGTAGCATTTGTCATTGATTTTGTGTTACAACAATTGGTTACATCCTTGCTTATTTAATGATCTTGTGGATGCATGTGCAACTTGTTGAACTGAATCAATAAATGCTAAGGATATTTCTCTGTGTACCAATATCAAGCAACAAGAGTGCTGCTGAGGAATATTGCAGTGAAACTGAAAAGCAAGAGGTTTATTACGAAATGAGTTTCAGTGTTTTTATTTGATCCCTTTGCTGATTGTAGTAGTTGCAGGAATTTATTGTCACCATGCTCACACCTTTGTGTTGGTTTGCTTGAATTTTTTAAGTAGTTTGTTTTATAGTGTTGAAGGTTCTTCCGTGTGGTGCAACTTTAGGATAAGAAAAGGACTGATGGATTGGCTGCATTGTGTAGACTGTGATGTTTTTTGTCTGTTTCATGAAAGTTCAGTACTTCTAGTTAGAAGGAGATTAAAAGTATGCTTTTATTCCTTAAAACTATTTTGAAATTTGAGTTTAGTTTATATCAAATTTTAATACATTCGTATCAGAAGTGACGTAATTTTAGGTTTCTGTCTACTAAAAGAACACATTTTGCAGTTAAAATGTAGAAACTAAATAAAGATGTGACAGATTAAAAATATATTTTATCCTTAAATAAACTTGTTGGCGAATATTTTCTTTGGATTGTGAGTAAATTAGCTTGTTCTTTTGGCCAATGGTAGAACTCTGCAAGTTCATTGAGTATGCGATGGTTGTGGAATGGAACTTGGTTGTAGTTTGGGATTGGCTGGATTTTGAATTCATGTTTTCTGGATAGGATGTGGTCATGCTAGTTATGTTCTTCATAGTAAAAAGGATGATTTGGGTGTGAATATGATTCAATAGAGTGTACAATGGCCTCAAAGTAAAACTTGAAGGTAAATTGAATGTGCTAGATTGTGAAGTAGTCTTAGAACAAAATATGGTACCACTTAATCACGGGTATATGTTGAGGAAATTTTGTAGAATAGCCATAAATGCGTAGGCATCCGTTTTCTACCTTTTTTTTTTCTCTGATTTTTCCAGATCTACATGACACCTATAATTTTCCCACAAATGCAGATTTAATCATAATAGACGTGTATTTTGTTATCCTATCCTATTATCACATATATCCTCTGTTATGACTTTTTTCATTCATGTAATATTTTCCAGATCATTTTTTCGCATCACAAAAGACAAAAAAGAACATCCTGAAAGGTTAGAGGTCTTGCACCAAGAAGGTGAATTTTGTTAATCTGGTGTATTATTTGCTTCTTCTTTTTAAGTGCATGGCAACAGAGGGATTATAGGGCTTGATTGCTACCATTAATTCTTTCTGATTGTTCAATTGGGATTGGGGTGGGTAGGAGAAAATCTTATTCTTGTCTTATCACTTTGTCCTTATAAAAGGAAACAAGTTATCTATCTTTTTGAGTTTAAAAATGAGTGCATCATTTTTTTTAAACCTTGGCAACATGACAGCGATAAGGAGACAATCAATAAATACGTGCGACATAATCAACAGAGTATAATGAGCTCAAAATACTCCATCAGTTTGATGATGTACAGATGAATTTCCCATATTCTGATTTTTTGGGAAGTTTTAATGCAAAAATTAGCACGAATGGGCGTTTAAAGTTGAAGCAGTCTATTTAACAGCAATTTTGTTGCAGTGCTTCAATTATGTACTCATGGCAACTATCTGGAAGTGATTTTTTTTTTGTTCTTGTATCATACTTTCAGGTTGTTTTAGCTTCATTGGGGTTTGAAGGGAAAAATGTCGTTTAAGAGATCAAAATCAGTGACTGAAAGAACTCTATCTACTGAAGAGGAGCAGATGAAGGTACTTGACATTCATCTGGCCTTATTTTATGAATGTGAAATGATAAATCTGATGCATTGTTATTGTACATTAGTGCAGACTCTGATATTTTATCTTCCATCCCAATGTTTGCTTTAGTTCTTCATTTTTAGGCAATCAGTTATTTATCTTAGACGAGGGTAATTTTTTTGGAGGAATTTTGAAGTGGAAAATTATTTGATTTCCCTTTTTGTCTTAGGTTCTAGAAGTCAAAAAGATGATTGGTCCAATTGCTGAGAAGTGCTCAGTTCTGTGCTCGGATGCATCAATTCTAAGATACCTTAGAGCGCGCAGTTATAATACTAAGAAGACTGCAAAGATGTTGATAGGCACCATAAAATGGAGGCTGGAGTTCAAGCCTGAGAATATTCAATGGGTGTGCAACAAATTTTTTTTTTTTTTATCTATCTTTTTCCATAAAATAAAATAGAACATATTAGAGTTCAAAGCATGAAAGTTGGCCAAATATGCTAGTTTTCTAAAGGCTTACTAGTACAGTTACTCTGTAAAAACGTGTGAACAGAATAGATAAATATAGCTCAAACCCAACTAAAATTCACTGTCTAGTTTTATAGGTGAATTGACTGTAATTGCAAATAAGTAATTTATGTGGCTTTATCAGTATAATTCTCTCTATCTCAGATTTTATTTTGTTCAGTCAATTACATAGATGAGTTGCATGCTGTTAACTAGATAACTGCAAATGAAAGACATATATCTTGTTTTTTTTTTCTACTTTTTATGCAATTAGGGTGATATTGCTCAAGAAGCTGAGAGAGGAAGGCTGTATAAAGCTGATTACTTGGACAAGCAAGGAAGGATTGTTTTTGTTATTAGACCTGGTATTCAGGTAGTCTAAATATTTTGAGAGAGTAAGCTCAACATTCCTTTTTTTTGTGTGGTTGTACTTAGCAGCTGAGCCTTCTTGCTGTTTGGTATCATTGTCAATATAATTGAAGTTTGAGTATAAGGTTAATTTAATCTCTAAAATTGTGATTTATTATCACTTCAATCCTAGAATTAACAAAACTCAAGAAAATCTCTGAAACTGTAATATCTGTGATTCGAGTCCACAGACTTATGTGAACCAAGTTACAGCTTGGGAGTTTTTATTTGAAGTTTTGTTAATGATGGGAACTAGAGTAGTTTACAATTTCAAGGGCTAATTGTTCTTTTAATCTTAGAAGTTTCAATGCTTTTGACTAAGACTTCTTCATCTATCCAATTTAGAGTACAAACACTCCAATTGCGCAAATCAAGTATCTAATTTACTGTTTGGAGAATGCCATATGGAATCTAGGTTCCAATCAAGAGCAGATGGTTTGGCTCATTGATTTTCAAGGGTGGAACACAGCATGCTTGTCTATGAAGGTTGCACGAGACACTGCACAAATCCTGCAGGCTCATTACCCGGAGAGGTTGGGCATTGCAATTTTTTACAATCCACCAAAAGTGTTTGAGTCATTTTGGACGGTATGACACCATAACATCTCCTGTATTCATCACTGTCTACTTTTCATTAGAAGGGAGGGGCAATGATTTTGTGAGACGAGGCTTGAATATGTAATGATATTCTCCTACTGATGTTTGTGAGAAAATATTTTTCTCATTTGCTTGGCATTTTTCTGATGTTTACGTTGTTTCTGTTGTAAAAACTTAAGATTCTGCATGCAACTTGTTTGTTGAAAGAGAACATAAACACATGTGCTTGATGAGAACTTGAATGTGCACATGCATGTGGTCAGTGTTTAGTCATATTATGCATCTCCTAGTTTGGAGATACTTTTGGTTGATTTCTGTTCCACCGTGCTGAATCATTAAATATGGGAAATATTACTCCAACCAGAGTGTAGATTAGTTTCAAGTGAGCTGATAGATCAGATGAAAGGACTCCTGTGATTTATAAGTAGAAAGACAAGCTGGAATTTCTTTTGTTGGTTTCCTTTGTTAAAATTTGCTCAATTACCTCTCTTAAATTCAGTATTGGTGTATTTGCTTCGTGGTTTTTATCATCGTGCTTTTCATGTTACCAGATGGTGAAACCATTTCTAGAACCCAAGACTCACAAAAAGGTGATATTTGTTTACCCTCATAACCCAAGAAGCTGCGCGGTGATGGAAGAACACCTTGACATGGACAAGGTGGAATCCTATTTTGGTGGGAAAAATTCAGTTGGATTCAACTATGAAGCTTATGCTCGGAAAATGAAAGCAGATGAGAGTACCATGTCTCGTGTATTTGATTCATGTTGTTCATCGTCGCCCGGACTTTTAGACTCAAAATCTCTCGAACCAGTGCAGTCACTTAACAGTGCTTCTGTGGATGAAGCAGCATCTAGGGAGAAAGCAATTTGTTCAAACTTGGAAGATGCTGATGGTAGTACAAATGGAAAGATAACGTGCTCCCAGTATGAATCCAATAAGGTCAATGAACCAAACAAGATATAAAGGGCTGAATCAGAAGAAAAGTAGGCATAGGCAAGGTGGATTATATTACTCATTCAAACTACACAAACACTGAACTTCAATCAGTATGCATTATAGGTTTGAAAGTGTCATCTGAACCATTACTTTCTCAACCAAAGCCACTTGTGGTCCAGACCAGCACGGATCCAAATCTCACTCAAAAAGATAAAAGTTTGAGTTGGCTCATGTGGCATTAGAATGTCAGAAAAATTCAAGAAATAGAAATTTCAGATTTCTTTCATGTTACTTTTTCCCTCTCCCTAAGTTTCTCTATCTTTCTGTGTGTTGTGGTGGGGTTCTGATAGGGTGTGTTTCAGTGATTGTGATTGCTATTTGTTCAATGTCAAGCTATGATGAGAAACACCTACCACCCTTTCATGTACTAAGTAAGGTACAACCCAAGACCTAATTCACAAAAAGTGGATTTTCCTTTAAACAAAAATTTTGTAGAGATGAAGCATTTTCCATATTAATGTATTTGTTCGTTCGTGATGGGGTGTCATGGAGCTGGAGTTGCATCATCAAATCAGCATTTTAAACCAGGCTAGTAGTGGTTGTGACTTTACAGAAAGGAAAGCACATGACTCTTTCAGGGAAACATCTAACTTCAGAATTAATCATACTAATCTATTAGTACTATGAGATTCTAAATTTCTAATACAAATTACCATAAAGTATTTTCATAGGCAAAATTAAAGATAGAGAAAAAAAGAGGGAAAAAGGTTGCTTATCTTTTGATCCTTTCTCTAACTGGCTAAGCATAATATACAGTCAAAAAGTGAGTTCTTTAGTTCTGTAAGGCCCTGTGTCACCAGAGCTTTTATAACATCTTGATCTTATATTCTTTGGAAAAACAAGGACATTCATGTTAAGTGTATAATTGTAAATAAATAAATTCTAAAAATGAATTTTTATTTTATATTTCACTTGCAGTTTACTCTCAACATATTTTATAAGGTAAACGTCAAAAGAGATCTTCTGTTAAAAATAAAAAAAACCCATTGGTTGAAAATTTTAAAAAACACTTAAAATGACGAAGAATAATTTTTTATAATTTTCTGGACACATGAATGTCATTTTAAAAGGGTTAATGTCTCCGTACGGTCCTATTTTGGTCATGAATTTCAAATAGGGTCCTCGTCATTTCGGCGGTTTCAATTGAGTCCTTGTTTTGTAAAATTGAATCAATTACAGGCCTGCCGTTAATTTGGAGAAACCGGGCCGTTACGGTATTGGTTAGGTGGGCTGGTTGAGTGCAGTAACCTAATCAGCCGTGCATTTAAAACGGTTTTTTGTATTAAATAATTGGTATGCACGTCTGATGATTAAGTTGGGTAAGGCAATACTGGAAATTTGAAAAAATTCAAGGCAACAGTTTTAATTGACGAAAGCACATGAGATTGGGGGAAGAGAAAAGAAATTGAGGGTTTTTAATATTAGGGTTCGCGTGAGAGGCCAAAAATGGATTCCTAAGTTGGATCCAAAAATCAGGTGTCTCTTGTTCGATGGAAGTGGGGAGGTGGGTGCGCGTTCTTTGTTGGATTCGAAGTGGAGGGTGCGCGTTCTTTGTTCGATTTCGAAGTTGGAGGGTGCGCGTTCTTTGTTCGATTCGAAGTGGGAGGGTGGGACGTTCTTTGTCGATTCGAAAGTACTGAGGTCGAAGTTGTAGTTTGCGACGACAGCTGGGTGTAGTACTAGGTTGTTCGAAGGAATGTCGAAGGAGCACTCTTGGTATTCATCGAGTTGCGTAGGTGCCAGGCGGAAGGAAAATGGTACGCCTTCACGATCGGCTACTGTGTTCAGGTTGTGTGGTGAGAACTGCCAAAACTACGAGAATCGGGGCAAGCAAATTTGGGATGCTCAAGTATAAGGAGTAGATTCAAACCAACCTAATCAAGGTTGCTGGTCATGTTGTGAGAAGAAGGTGGTAACCTCGATAATGAAGTTGAATCTTCTTTACAGAATGGTGGTGAAGAACGTGGTTGCAATTGCAACTCTTCGAATGGTGCATGATATTGGTGGTACGAAAGGGGACAGTTTGTTCAACAGTGAAGGAACGAAAGAAACAGTAGTGAAGAGTGAAGACATGGTAGTACTAGGAAAATGATACTGGGAATTTACACAAATAGATTTTCATGTTGAAAAGTTAGGAAGGTGGTGATGTTGTTGGTGTATGTTTTATGTGTAATACAGATAAGTTTTCGTTCACATGGATGCCGAACAAGGATGATTCCTTGTAACTTTGTGTAGGTTTGGTCGTGTTGTAATGAATTATGAAATGAATGAACTGAAAGAGTTGTTAGAAATTCAGAGTCCATATACTGTTACAAAATTATGCTAAAATTACACAAACTGTTATAATGGTAATCTCTATTTATAAGAATAAGCAGTTATTGTTTTGAAATGTAAATTACAGCATTGTTATCCTGATCAGAGCACAATGTGATGGTTTGTTACATTGCTGAGCTACTATTGAATAAGCAGTTTCATTGTAGTAAATTACGAGCGCCCTCTAGATCGCGGAGAGCGTCGCTGCGGCGGTCCTCTCTGGACGAGCTAGTTCCACTGCGCGTCATTCGCTGGACGAGCGTCCACTGAGCCATTTTTTCTACCGTGTGTAGCGTCGTCAAACTAGGTCCCTGTCCCTAGCGTTCGGGGTTGTAGTTCGTACCTCCCTGTGTACGCTCGTCACCTACGTCCGTGACTCAAGACCTTTCGGTTGTTGTGGTCGTCCTCCCTTGTCTGGCTGTCAACTAGGGGCGTGTGAAGACCGTTCGGTGTGGTCGTCCTCCCTTGTCTAGCGGTCGTCCAACTACGTCCGTGCTGAAGAGCGTTCGGTGTGGTCGTCCTCCCGTGTGTAGCGTTCGTCCAACTACGTCCGTGTTCAAGACCGTGCGGTCTGTCGTCCACCCTCGTCATCGCTCTTACAACAACCTCCGGCCTTCAGAGCGTTCGGTTGGTCGTCCTGGATCGTGTATATAAGACGTCCGTCCAAGAAGGAAATTGTAAACATCCAAAAAAACAGTTCTTGGTCATTGACAAATAGTTCTGCTCATTGTAATCCATCCAAAACAGTTCCTGGTCATATCCAAAGTAGTTCCTGCTCATGTAATACATCCAAAACAGTTGTAATACATCCAAAACCATACCATAGTGGAATCATGTAATCATCCAAAACCATACACCACATCATAGTCAGAAAAATTACAAAGCAGTAACAACAATCAACCTTGTTCATTAGACTATTACATAACCAAAAGTTCCTTAAACTTGGCATCATTGTCATTATACAGACATCTATAGTTCAATTCCTAATCATTCATAAACCACTTCAGATAGTGCGATGATGGCATGATTGGTTCTTTGGGTGGCTTTCGGGCAACGACTCCTGTGTGCCCATCCCCCTACATATCCCGCATTCTTCCGCAAACCACCCTTGCTCACTCGTGAATCATCCTTCTGATCTCCCACTGCTCAGTCTTCTTTTCCTTTTAGGTTCTCCGGCATAACCCTTTTTCCTAGGGGCATGACATCACCGGATATGGTGTTAGTCCCACATTTGTTGGCCGTTGATGGGATATACGATGATGCAAGTTTCTTCATACGGTGGACTTTAGAAAGGCAAGCCGGAATGAACTGCTGGCCATCAATATTAAGGAAACTGTCATTGCGGCAAGGGAGACAAGAGCATGCACGTGGAATTCCTGTGATGCTCATCCCTGCACGAGCCATGAGAACTCGTCTATGGTTTACAACAAATTTTTCTCCACTTTGGGAGAATGTCTTACTTCAAACAGTTTGTGTGCTGACCAGACTATAAAGAAATAAGAAATTTAAACAACACATTTAAGGTCTGCATAAAGTTTACCAAGGAATGAAATAAACATTTATGAAGTTATGAAAAAGTTACTAGTATCCAATCTTGGTTGCTTGGTTCCTTTGTAAATCTGGCCTGGATCTTTGGACAAATTGGTGTCCTGAAAATGATTGATCCTAGGCCATGTTTTTTGCCCATCTTTGCAATTATGTATACCCTAATTCTTCCAGCATGTGTTATGATTGGTTTAGTCCTGGTGTGAACCAAGGGACACTTGTTTGAACGATCACTGATATGTTGCCAATGTGTCACATTTGGTGTTGGATGAATCTGGGACTTGGACCAATATCTACAACAGATGATATGTAAAAACTGCAACTAATGAGGACAAACATAAATTTAATATCAAAGGGCAAAATAATTATCAACAAATTGTCAACACCTTGGAGGGAGGCAATCCAAATGCTCTGAATGCAGCTTACTTCATTATATCTTTTAATGTTAGTCTCTCTCCTTTTCCCCCCCCCCCAGTTTGTGGATGAGTGGCAGTAGCTGCCTCCACACAGCTGGTTCAGATTTTACAGGAAATTTTTCTAAAGTTTGAATATAAGTGTCCTGACACAAAATACTCTGGTCAACACCTTTGGGAGTAATGTTGAATGCTGGCTGGGTAGTAGCACCATGTGGTGGTTTGTTAACGTAAATGATTATCACCAATCAAAATTATGAACCAATATCCGAAAGAAAGCAACAATTTAAATAGTGATTCTACCTTTTGTGGTCGAGAAAAAAGCTAATTGAAGAACACCTTCTCCACCACCAAGATCATCAATCAAAAGTTCCAAAAAACCACATCCATGAATTTGTTTCGACTTCTACCACCGCATATGCAATGGGCAACATTTGATCATTTCCCATCCCTCCCAACAGCCGCGTCAATAGCTTAACCACCATACTTCCCTTTCAAAAAGGCTCATCTAATCCATTATTCCTACAGCAGACAAAACAGTCTTTGCATGCCTTCGACAAAGTAAAATCCTTGAAAATTAACTCACCCTCAGTATCTCAACATGGAACCTAACGTGGAGTCTTGGATTCTTTACAAACACTCATGCGCATAATCATATATCCTCTTATATTGCTCATTAAAAGGACCCATCAATTTCATTAGAAGCAATAGCTTGGCTCTATAAGCCAATGACCTTGATATACTATGTTCCACTTCCTTTGAACTTTTTCACGAATATCAACACCCTTCATCTTAGGATTTTCCTGAACTGTTTTCACCACTTTTGCTCAACCCTGGCGTCAAGATAACTTGAGGTTGAACTCCCTGCTGCATGTATTGAATGTCTTTTTAGTTCTCAGCTTGCCATGATTTTACAGCCTCCATTAACCAAAGTATATGGTCCATGGGCATTCTCTTTTGCACCAAAGCATTTCATCCTCAATCTTCTCTTGTCATTTTTTTACAAAACTTTATATTCCTCCCATGTTTCCAAGGCAATTACCCTTTTACGCATATAAAATTCTGCTTTCTTGCAAAAAAGTCCCAACTTCCAATGGGAAAGTCTACCATACTTTTGGCATTACACAAAACTACCAAACCTCCCATAACCTCACTGTCTTATAACCATCTTCATCACTATCTGTTGCACTAAGAATTCCTCAGATTTCACTCCAAAATTGACATCCTCTATCGTCATGGATCATCACATTCAAACACTGACATTATCACGGTCATCATCCTATCATAAAGACTTTCTACTTTACTTC